GTTGGCCAAGGAGGTCCCAGTCCCTATAGCACATGCAGATATTTCTCTGCTCGGTTCCAGTCTGACTGACCCCATGGAAAACAGAGGGAACATTTTTTCCAGCCATGGATGCCTGAAGGATTGGTACTAAATGATGAAGAAAAGTCTCCTCATTGGCAGAGGAGCCAGGACTCCTCTCAGGAGGCTCTGGGCTCCAACTGATTTTGCATACAAAAGCAATAACCTGCCTATCTTTCACTTTTTTCCCTTCCTGGTGTCTGTTTTGTGTCTCTGAGTCAGGGAAGGGGAAGCTTCTCTCTCTCCCGTCTGGCCACCATGTGTCTGTGAGCACATGGCTCCTTTTGTGTTTGTTCTTCCCTGGTCTTAGGAGATCAAGGATCCAGAGATGAAACTGGCTTTTGTGCTTTACATTTGAGCCTTCTCTCCCCAGGGACTTGGAGTGTGCAGGAGGAGGCTGCACTCCTGAGTTGCGGGGTGTGTGTGTGTGTGTGTGTGTGTGTGCGTGTGTATGTCGTAACATTTTTTCTTGTTATACAGCCTTAGTAAATGTGCTTTGATAAAAGCTGATGGAGCTCAGCTGATTCTAATTGATAATGGGGAACAGCAGTGAGGACTTGTGATCAATGGTACTAGAAACTTCAATCCTCAGCTAACCCCTAGAATCCTGAGGGTAGAAATAGTGACTCCCATCTCTGTAGATCTGGCCTGCCATTGTGATGCAGGTTAGGGAAGTGAGCCTGGAGGGATGCTCTAAATCACTAATGATTGAAGAAATGCAAATTAAAATAACTCTGGGTAGCACCTCACACCTATCAGAAATGACAAATGTTGGAGGGGATGCAGGAAAATAGATACATTTAATGGATTATTGATGGAGTAGTGAACTGGTGTAACCATTGTGGAAAACAAGAAGAAGAAGAAGAAGAAGAAGAAGAAGAAGAAGAAGAAGAAGAAGAAGAAGAAGAAGAAGAAGAAGAAGAAGAAGAAGAAGAAAGGAGGAGGAGGAGGAGGAAGAAGAGGAGGAAGAAGAGAAGGAGGAGGAGGAAGAAGAGGAGGAGGAGGAGGAGGAAGAAGAGGAGGAAGAAGAGAAGGAGGAGGAGGAAGAAGAGGAGGAGGAGGAGGAGGAAGAAGAGGAGGAAGAAGAAGAGGAGGAGGAAGGAGAAGAAGAGGGGGAAGAAGAAGAAGAGGAGGAAAAGGAAGAAGAAGAGGAGGAAGAGGAAGAAGAAGAGGAGGAAGAGGAAGAAGAAGAAGAGGAGGAGGGGGAAGCGGAAGAAGGAAGAGGAGGAGGAAGAGGAAGGAGGAGCAGGAGGAGGAGGATAAGGAGGAGAAAGAGGAGGAGGAGAAGCAGGAGGAGGAGGAGGAAGCAGCAGCATAGAAGAATGAGGACAGTAAGAACAGGCATCAAGTGTAGACAACTTTTTTAAGCAGTTTAGTTGAAAAAAGGAGGAGATAAAGAACGAGGGGAGGGTAGACACAAGAAATGGAACCTAGTGAAGGTTTTTCCGGGATGGAGGAGATGTGGGTGTCTGGAGGCAGTGGAGTGAAGAGCTGTTGATGGTTACCAGGTGTGACCAGACAAGTCACTCAAACTGCCTAAGCCTCAGTTTCCTGCTTTGTAAAATGATGATAATAATGCAATCTGCCAGGGTTGTTAGGGACTCTACTGCAGGAGTGTCTGCTAAGCACCAGTATTCATTTTTCTTTTCCAGGGGCCCAAGAATGATTCTGGCAGTGACTCAGGAACCCTTGGGGCTCCTGATTTTATGGCCTCTTCTAAACCAATTCAGTTCTTATGAGATCTGTGGTACTGGAGGGGAAGAGGTGGACCAGAAAGAGGACAGGTCCCAGACGCAGAGAGCCAGCTGACGTGGCTTCAGAGTAGGTGGGGCCTGGGTCTGACCATCAGGGAATTTTTGGCCTCTGGACACTGGCCAGGACCCAGCTTATCAACCTGTTGCTATCACTGTGCACCCAATGAACTTCTCTCACTGAACAAGGGTCCGTTGATCATAGTCCCTTAATGGCCAGGGTGACAACGCCTTGGTTTCTTAGCTCAATAAACTGGGGCCACGCCTGGAAATTCCTCCCTCAACCAGAATCTTCATGATGGAATGATAACTTGAATAGCCTTTCTCTTCCCTGGCTCTGAAGAAGGAGAAAGAGGAGGCCTGAATGCCTGCATGCATGAATCTGGGAATCAACTGCATAGAAATGATCACTGAACCATGGGAACTTAGGAGATCACCAAGAGAAATAGTAAAGGAGGAGAGAAGGAGTTTGAGGACAGAACCTTGGGGAACACGTAGAGTTAGCAGGCATGACCTAGATGAAGAGCCAGCAAAAGAGATGGAGAGATAGTGGTCATGTAGGTCGAGAGAGGGCAGAGAGAGAGAGCAGTGTTAGCAAAATCCAGAGAAGAGACCAAGGATCCAGGGGAGAGTGATCAGCAGTGTGGAATGTTGAGGTCAAGGCTGGAGAAAGGGTAGTAGAGTTGGCATTTAAGAGGCCCTTTCAAACATTAGAGCCATTTGGGCTGAATGATGAGGTTTGAAGCAGTTTGTAAAGGGCTTGGGGGAAGAAAGAGAAAGAGAGAGAGACAGAGAGAGAAAGGGACAGAGAGACACAGAGACACACAGAGACAGAGACCGAGACAGAGAGAGACAGAGAGAAATGGAGAGACAGAGGCAGAGAGACACACAGAGAAACAGAGACCGAGACAGAGAGACAGAAACAGAGACAGAGAGACAAACAGAGAGAGCAGAGCAGGGGAGGCAACATTCATAGACAGTCATTTCATGGAGGTCAGCATTAAAAGGGCTCGTATGTTAAAGCCACAAAGGAGAGGGACATAGCCAGCCAGCGTTTATTAAATGCCTACTGTGTGCCAGGCACTGTGTTAGATTCTGGGGATACCAAAAAACAAACGGCAGAAGAAAGTCCCTGTTCTCAAGGACCCCAGAGTCTAACGGAGGAGAGAAGCTGCAAGTTACTCTGGACAAATGATGTAGAAACAGGATCAACTGGAGACTAACTCATACAGAAGGCAGTGAGATGAGAGAGGACTGGGAAGGGCTTTTTGTGGGAGCCCCAGCGCAAAGGAAGCCAGGGGATCCAGGAGGCAGAGATGAGTGCCAGGACCAGGGAAACTACCAGAGGCTTTGTATGGAGTCAGGAGATGGAGTCATTTCAAGGAACAGCCCTCAGCCAGTGTCGACAAGGGAGGGGTGGGGAAGAAGTGGAAGAAGACTGGAAAAGTAGGAATGAGCCAGGTCATGGAGAGCTTTCAGGGTGAAAGAAAGCTGACCCTGACTTGTCTACCCCCTTCCCTGACATTCTTCACAGCACTAACCCCTTCTCAATCTCAGCATCTGTGGAGCCCAGAGGCTGACTCACATGTGGTCCTTGGACCATTATTCGGCCTGCCCCTGGGCCTAATAATGATGATAATAATGAGATTATATTGATAGTGGAACACCATAACGATTATAGCTAGCATTTAGGTTTGAAAACACCTTTGTGTACATAATCTGATTCAGACTTCACAACACCTCTGGGAGGTTGGTGCAACTGTTATCCCTATTATCCCCATTTTGCTGATGAGGGAACTGAAGCAGGTTAAATGACTTGCCCAGGATCTCACATCTAGCAAGTGGCTGAGGCCAGTCTTCCTAACTTGCCATGTGGCTGTCCCCCACTTAGGTTTGTTCTGGCTGTGGCCTGGATGATGAGTGCTGGAAGAGTTGTTGGGAAAGCTCTAGGTTTGGAAACAGGAGACCTAAAATGGAAGCCAGGCCCTGCCACTAGTGTAGGGTATGAGGTAGCAGGGACAGAGCCAGGGTTTGGGAAGCAGAGTGTCAGGGTGTTTGGGCCCTCGCCCTAGAACCATATCTCTCTGCAGTCCAAAAGACCCGATCTCTGGCAATAACTCACAAGTGGGTCTCAGTGAGGCAAACTATCCCTCCCTGCTACAGAAACAAGCTGACCCTGCAGAGCCTCCTGGTAAAGAGAGAGTTATCTTGTACTGATTCCCACAATTAACCTATACATTCCAGAGGTCAAGTCATAGACATCAACTCTGGAGGCTATCTCCTACAAACAGGATGACCATGACCACTAGTTGACTTACTAACGTAGCAGACCAAAAACACCCCTTAGAAGCTCCCCCACCCCCAGGGTTTCCAGTAGTGAATGCTGCCTGAGCCCAAGGTACAAAGAGAGTGTATATTCCTTCAAGGGCTGACCACACCTTGACACTGCCCACCACAGCACCTAATAAGCATGCTTGTCACACCACTCACTTAACTTTTCCTATATACCCTTTAGTACCACCCCCATTAAGTTGCAAGGTCCCTAAGGAACTTGGTGTCACCATAAACTATTGTCACTTGACTAGAAGATGGGTTGAGTCCACAAATTCTTTCCAGATGACTCTGCCCTGTAACTTCATATTTTTGGGGTCTCTGCACGCCTAAACTGAATCAAGAGGATCTGGGTGTGACTCCTGGAACGCTTATGACTTGGGCAAGGAATCACTTTCACTTTCCTCAGCCTCAGTTTCCTCATCTGTAAAGTGAGGGGGTTGGAGTGCATGGCCTTGGAGGCCCCTGCCAGCTCTAAAGCTGTGATCCTCTGCTCCCTATGTAGGATTGTTTTTTCCAGTGTGACGTTTGGTGCTTCTGAGACTTAATTCCTGTTCTAATAGCTGGGTATAGCTGAAGCCACTAGACCTGGAACTGGGGACAGCTCTCTCCCCAGTCAGATGAATGCTCTCACCACCCACCACCATCTTGGCTCCTCAATAGAAGGGTCCAGGCCAGGAGATCTCTTCAGGGGCCAGGGTGTGGCCAGGACCATCCAGGGGGTGGGGTATTCACAGAACCATAATATCTTCCAGGAAGCAAATAGCTCCTTTGTGGGCCAAAGTCCCCATAGGCAACTATTAAGCAATTGAGTGTCCCAGAGAGACACCACAAATCTCTCTCTTTCTGTCTGGCCTCATAATGCAGGGACCTTTTGCTTTGTTCCTGGTGGGACTCTATTTCCACATTGCAGATGGTGTCATCCCAGGTAATCCCCTCCAAGGGGCTTCCGTAATACAAAGGGACCAGGGAGAGGGTCCTACTCAATGGCACTGGGCCAGGGGTTGGGATTGAGATAAATCTGGGCGCACCTACCAAAGATGGGGAAGATGTGTGGTTAGTGGCTATTAAAGGAAAGTGAGGACCTATTGGACCCCAGGAATGGGGGAGTGCAAGGTGATGTGAGGAATTCAGAGATGCCTTGGATATCTGCTGAAGGGTAAAGGCGCTTAGGAAAATAGTTAGAGGATATCTGCTTACTAGCTGTATGATCTTCACCAAGCTCCTTCTGTCTCCTGGGTCTCAGTTTACTCCTGTGTAAAATGTGTGTGTGGGGGGTGTAGAATAGTAGGGTATGGTGGAAAGTGTGCCACATGTAGAGTCTGAGGGATCTGAGGCTATGCACAAACTTGAGTAAGTCTGACCTTAGTTTGTTCATCTGTGAGACAGGAGGCCTGGACAGATGGTTTCCAGGGTCTCAGCCCTAGTTCTAGCAGGCTACGGTCTGAAGGGCTGTTCTTGTGCTAACATTTGCCCCTTGATCTGATTTTTAATGGTTTGGTGCACCAGGGCCCAGAGGCCTTGGGGGTGAGGGATAGGGGTGTACCCTCCACCCCTAAGCTCCCTGGCATTGTCCCCACAGAAGCAGAAGAGAACCCCAATTTCTGGAATGAGCAGGCAAAAGCTACCCTCCAATCAGCCCAGAAGCTAGAGCCCATCCAGACCTCAGCCAAGAACCTTATCATCTTCCTGGGGGATGGTGAGTGTGGTGGCTGATATGAATCTCCCACTCCCAAACCCCATCTCAGCCCAGCCCCTACACAAGCAGCACCCAAGCTTCCCCACAATGCCCACACTAGCCCAGATAGACCCCCTCTCCCAGCCAAGCTTCCCCAGAATGCCCACACTAGCCCAGATAGACACCCTCTCCCAGCCAAGCTTCCCCAGAATGCCCACACCAGATAGACACCCTGTCCCAGCCAAGCTTCCCCAGAATGCCCACACTAGCCCAGATAGACCTCCTGTCCAAGCCAAACTTCCCCACAATGCCCACACCAGATAGACTCCCAGTCCCAACAGTGAAGTCACTTCCCCACCCAAACTGTACTCTGAGATCTTGTCTCTATGGCTCCATCCCACCTCCCAAGTGGAAATGTTTGCCCTGGGACTCAGACTAGGGACAGACTGAGTCCTAAGCTGAGTCGTGGCTATGCACAGGGATGGGAGTGCCCACTATAACGGCCACCCGTATACTGAAAGGAAATCTGAATGGAAATCTTGAAATCCCACTGGCTATGGATGGGTTCCCTTATGTGGCTCTCTCCAAGGTACATCATGGAGGAGGGGGTGAAGGAAAACCCTAGATCAATAGAGCACTAGCCTTGAAGTCAGGATGACCTGGGATCCCCTCATCCCTCTAATACCTGTGACCTTTGTGACCCTGGGCATGTCTCCTTGGGCTTCTTTACAGGAAAAGAGCCTTGGTGGGGTTGTTGATGGAGCACTCCTGGGAAATGGAAGGAAAGAAGGGAGGAGAGCTTTGGGGGTCATGAGGTGGGAACCCTAGAATGGATGGGAGTGCATATGACCCGGTTCCATTAATGAGCCAGCCTAAGGGAGGGTGGTCCCTGCTCTGCTGGGTCAGGAGGGCTTGGTTGAGGGCCTGGGGGCTCCTCTACCAGCTGCCCAGAAGCTACCCAGCTGTCCTCTACACAGACATACAACGTAGACAGGCAGGTACCCGACAGTGCAGCCACAGCCACTGCCTACCTCTGTGGTGTGAAGGGCAACTACAGAACCATCGGAGTCAGTGCTGCTGCCCGCTACAATCAGTGCAACACCACTTGGGGCAATGAGGTCTTCTCGGTCTTGAAGCGAGCCAAGGAAGCAGGTGAGATGGGGAGCAGGGGTCAAGAGGCTGCTGGTCACCTGCCTCTCCCAAGTCAGCTCTCCTCCCAAGTCAGCTGCTCGGTCAAGGGCACCACCAGCATCCTGTCCCCTTCGGGGTCCCAACCGCAGCTCTTCTCTCTTCCTCACTCTCCCTCCCAGAGCCAAGCAATCACCAGACTCTGTGGCTTAGACCCCTACCCCTCTTCTCCACCCACACAGTCCCACCCTAGTCTGGCCTCTCATCACCTCTCACCTGGACTACTTCAACAAACTCCTGTTCATTTTCTGGCCTCCAGCCTCTCCTTTCTCCAATGCATCCCTCACACAGCTGCCAAAATAACGAGGTTGAGGATAAATAGCTAGTGTGTATATAGAGCCTTGAGGTTGGCAAAGCATTTCACACAGATTATCCACCCTGAGAGGAAGGTGCCATCATTATCCTTGTTTTACAGAGGAGGAAATTGAGGCAGATAGAACGTAAGTGACTTTCCAGGATCACAGGGCTGGTAAATGCCTCAGACTGGATTTGAATTTGGGTCTTCCTAACTACAGGTGCAGTGCTCTATTCACTGTGCCACTTAGGTGCCCAAAGCACATGTCTGACCTGTTGCTCCCGTGCTCGCTGACTTGCTAGGCTTCTAGAATAAATAGAAACTCTTCTTGCCACATACAGCCCTTCACAGTTTGGCTCTAGCCTACCTTTCTAGGTTTGTTTTTTCATACAACTCCACTCCATGCACTCTTGTTCAGCCAAATCCTCCTAGTGGCTGTTCTCTAAACTCTGCCCTTCATCTCCCACCTCCATGTCTTTGGCTGTCACTCAGGCCTCGTTCCAACTCTTAGAGTTCCAAGATTCCTTAAACTTCAGCTCAGGTGATATTGACAGGAAGTTTCTCCTTATTCCTTAGTTGTTGACCCTCTCTTAATACTGTCTAGATGTGTCTGTTTGCCTGTTGTCTTCCTGTGCACCAAGCCCTCCATGAGATATGGGTCCTGGAGGGTAGGGACCATTTGTTCATTTTGTCTATGGAGAAGGGATGGCCCTGGGGTCTGAGCCTGGGGTCTGAATTCCCTCAGGGAAGTCAGTAGGAGTGGTGACCACCACCCGGGTGCAGCATGCTTCACCCGCTGGCACCTACGCCCATGTGGTAAACCGGGAGTGGTACTCGGATGCTGACATGACTGAGGAGGCCCTGGAGAGTGGCTGCAAGGACATTGCTTCCCAGATGGTCTCCAATGTGGACATTGACGTAAGATCACCAGGGCAGAAGTTGGGGAGTTCCTGGGTGGCCACAGCCAAGGGGTTTGGAGAGAAGGGGTTGAAGTGGTAAAGGGACAGACTTAGTTTGACCTACGAGAAAATCTGCTGCTGCTGAGAATTTTCCCAAAGTGGGAGGGCTGCCCGTGGAGCTGATAGGTCCCTATCCCAGGAGGCCTCAAGTGGCCTCCTTGGTTGCATGAAAACTTGTTGGTGGCAGTCAGGAGGGATTTCTTACTCAGGCACAAATTGGATTCGATGCTTCTGGGCCCCCTTCTAATTCTGAGATGCTGAGATTCTTGGGGGAGGTGAGGATCAACATGAGAATGAGACTTGCAGGGGGAGTCTCCTTGTGCCCTTTTGTCTCAGTTTCCCCTTTGTGCTGAAAAGCTAGGGATACCTAATGAGGTTCTCTGGGAAGAGAGTCTATGTGGGTCAGTGGAGAACTTGAAGGGATAGGAAGGAATCGATGGGAAAACTTCAGGCTGAGGTGGGGAAATGCAAGGAATGATGGGAGAGAGAATGCTGGGCATAAATGGCCTTGTAGGGGTGTGGTTAGGTGAGTCAGACTTTGGGTCTTGAGCAGCAGAAAGAGAAGGGCCAGTCCCAGAGCCCTAGAGCCCACTCTGGTCCACGGCACTCTCCCCATTTTCTCCCAGGTGATCCTGGGTGGGGGCCGCAAGTACATGTTTCCAGAAAAAACCCCTGATCCGGAGTACCCAACCCTTGGCAGTCAGAGTGGAACTAGGAAGGATGATCAGAACCTTGTAGAGAAATGGCTGAACGACACCCAGGTAGGTGATGGGGTTGTTTCAGTGCTGGAGGTTGGGTGGAGAGGAATTCCAAGAGATGGAGAGTGCCCCATTTGTCGAGGCTCCCAGAGCTAGAGGACGGGACAGCCAAGGCTGATGGTGATTGTATTTCTCAGGGTGCCAGATATGTGTGGAACCGTGAACAGCTGCTGAGTGCAGCAGAAGACCCCACAGTGACACGGATCATGGGTAATAGACACAATTGCCTTCCTCTCCTCTAGCGCCTCCTGCAGGTAGTCTGTTTTGCTAGGTTGTGGTCTCTCCAGCATCTTATCGTCAGTATGAAGCTCTTGACTGGGCTGAGCTAGCAAAGCCTAAGTGGGGAAATACGGAATTGGAATGTACGTTTGTGCAGTGGTCTCAGTATCTGAAGCCTGAAATGAGATCTGTTTCTCCAAGGCCTCTTTGAACCCGGGGACACTAAATATGACATACAACGCAATACTTCTGAAGACCCCTCTTTGATGGAAATGACCGAGGTTGCCATTCAAAAGCTCAGCCTAAATTCCAAAGGCTACTACCTCTTTGTGGAAGGTAAGTTGGGGTCAACTCGGGTCCAAGAGACTCCTGGGATGATTCTGTGAGGCTGCTCCTGACACTGTGAAGGAAGGAGGATGGGAAGCAGTCATAGGTCAAAGGCTGGAGAGGATCTCTGAATCCATCTCATCCAACCCCTCATTTTATTGATGAGGAAATTGAAGACCATGAAAGTGAAGTGACCTGGCCCAAGTCACCCTGGGAAGGAAGCAAAATAAACCAAGGACCATGAGTGGGAAGACATAGAAGGCTGCCAAAGTGTGGGCAAAGGGTTGCTTTTTGGAACAGAGACTGACCTGGTTGTATGTATTCATTTAGGAGGCCGAATTGACCATGGCCACCATGATAGCAAAGCACAGTTGGCCTTGACAGAAGCTATCATGTTTGACTCATCAATTGAAAAGGCCACTGAGCTGACCAATGAAAAGGACACTTTGATTGTCGTCACTGCAGACCACTCCCATGTCTTCTCCTTCGGTGGCTACACCTACAGAGGCAGCTCCATCTTTGGTAGGGAACTGCGAGGGTGGCAAGAGAGGGCATCCATGCTCAGGTTATAGGTTTCCCATTTCCATCTATCACTGTCCAGTGCCCTAAAGTCAACTTTGCCCCAGATGCCTAGCAGGGGGAGCCCTTTGGAGCAAGCTCTATCCTTGATCCTGCTCTATCATCTCTTCTTGGATCTCTTTCCTCAGGACTGGCTCCCCAAAAGGCACAAGATGAAAAACCATATACTTCCATCTTATACGGCAACGGACCTGGCTATAGCCAGGTCAATGGTGGTAGAGCAGATGTCAACGACACTATCAGTGGTGAGAGTGGGAGGCAAGCACACAGGGAAGCTGGGAGGCAGCAGGAGCCCAAGCTCTGGGCGGAGGAGGTGTTGGCTCTAGGCTTCTTGTCCTGATAGAGGCCAAGAGAGCTCTGGGGGCCCCTCTATTCTATTCCATTTCACAAACACTCCTTAAACAGCTGCTGTGTGTCAGGAACTGTCCTGGGCACTGGGGGGCAAAGACAAAACCAAGCAGCCCCTGCCTTTTGGTGCTTCTGTTCTACTGAAAGGGGAAGGGGGGAGAGAGCTCATAGCGACCCCCATATCAACCCATTCAACAATTTATGCGGTGTCTACCACGTGTCAGGCCCTGGGACTCCACAGATAAAAAAAAGTGAAAGCCCCTGCCCTCCCAGAGCTTCCATTCTATTGGGTGGGGAGGGGGAACAGGAAGTGCACAGTGTTTACAAAATGAAGGTAATTGGGGGGTGAGTGGGGAGATCAGGAATAGCTTCACATTCAAGAGAATGCTGGAGCTGAGCTTTGAATTCAAGGCAGTGTGGTACAGTGGTCAGAGCCCTGGGGATCTGGGGTCATATTTTAGCTCTGCTACTTGCTACCTGTGTGCCCTTGGGCAAGTGGTTTCTTCCTAAGCCTCAGTTTCCTCCTCTGTAAAATGAGGGGTGTGGAGCAGATGGCCTTTGAGGTCCCTTTTAGCTCTAGAGCTGTGATCCCCAGGGGTGGGGGGTGGGGGGTGGAATGGTGTGGTGCTTCCTACAGACTCAGTTAGGGTACCCTCATATTCTTCCCTTTTCCATGGTTCCTCAGAGGACCTGTCCTACAGACAGCAGGCAGCTGTGCCCTTGAGCTCAGAGACTCATGGAGGGGAAGACGTGGTCATCTTTGCAAGAGGTCCCCAAGCCCACCTATTCCATGGCGTGCAGGAGCAGACCTATGTGGCCCATGCCATGGCCTTTGCCGCCTGCCTGGAGCCCTATCAGGATTGTGGGCTCACAGCCCCTCCTGGCATCCCCCTCGATTCAGGATCCGTTCCCCAGGCATTGGCATCCTTTCTGCTGCTGATCCTTGCCTGGCCTTTCCTGCTCTTAGCAGTTCAACACTGATCAGGACCAGACACCATCCCTTCCTCCCCCTTCCAGTGACTTCCTTGGGGTTGCTGGCTACTCTTACTGTGAGAGGGACCCCCTGGACTCCTGACAAGCCCCACCAGGGACATGACAACTGCCAATAAATAAATTAGAAATCCGGGCCCTGAACCAGGACTGTTCTCACTGAGGCGTGCCCCTCACTCTGGTACCCCGTATTGGAAGCCTCCTCTTCCTCCACTGTTAAATAGCTGCTTAGTGTGTGTTCCCCTGTTATATTCTGCTAGCTTCCTGCTTCAAGGCTTCTCCCCACATGGGCTAGAGATGGCACAGGGCACTTCTATGTTTACCCTCCAATAGCCCCTCCTGCTGCCCCCTCCAACAGGGGGCACAGGAAGGATTCCAGATATGGAGGTAGGATATCCCTGGGGCACCACCCCATGCCTCCAACAGCTTTGGTCAGAATGTTCTGTTTTCTAAGGGCTTGTTTATTGGTATCTTTTTTCCCCACATTGCCTACATTATCCAATGTAGTTGCTCCTCCTCCCTCTTCCAGAGAGCCATCATACTGAGTAAAGAATAAAATAGAAGGGTAACTAACACACCCAAAGCGTCTGATGTCATCTGCAGTGTCCCATTCCCACAAGAAAGGAAAGAAGGTGCCCTCCCATAGCTTTTCTTTGGGGCTAATTTCATAGCATTCACTTTCAGCTCTCTTTTATTTTTTTAATCATTGTGTATATATACAATGTTGGAATGATTCTTATGTTGTTCTGCTCACTTCCTTTTGTATCTGTTCACATACATCTTCCCATGATTCTCTGCATTCGTTAGATTTCTCATTTTTTAGAGTTGCGGTAATGTCTCATCTTATTCATGTGCACAATGTGTTTAGCCATTTCCAGTAGAGGAGCATTTACTTTGTTTCCAGCTCTTTACTACTCAGAAATGTTACTAGAAATCTTTTGGTGTGAATGGGGTCATTATTTTTCTCACTTTCAGCCAAAGACAAGGTTTATTAGAACATCCATCACATTGGGCAGACTCTTAAGGATTCTGAACATTAGTAAACTATTGACTAGATTATAAGACTCTCAGCAACTTAATGGAGACAAGCTGGACCTCATATCCAGAAAGACTGTGGGAGGGACCTAGGAGTGGCCAAGTAGTCTGGAGGAGAAGAGGACTGTGAGTAATAGAATGCCAGGGACCTGGACCACATGGCCAAGGGAGAATGGAGCCTAGCTAGGATTAAGGGTGGGAAGTGGCCAGGGGCCTTAGAGAGGTAAGGCAATGGAGGACCAGGCTAGGTTAAAAGTAACAGAGATTGGGTTTAGCCACAATGAAAGGCCAGTTGATGGGATTATAGCCTCAGGTGAACACTAGAGATTTGGCCAAGTGGGAAAGTCCAGGATTTTTCTTTTTTTGGGGTCCAGATCCCATCCTCATCATTTCCCCCCTCAAACAAATGGGACCCAAATTCTTTTGGGAGTAAGGGGTGAAGGTCTTGGTTTCTGAAACTGCTTCCTACTGGCAAGGGGTGTAGAGCTGTACCTGCCTCAAGGGGATCCCAAAGAGGAGGTTAACTGGAATTGAGCACAGGCTGCATCCAGGGAACAATGGAGGGACATTGGCTGGTACTCACTCTTTGCTACCAACTGTAGGTGAACGGCCTGTAATCTGGAAGACACAAATCTGACCAAAAAGACTGCAGGACCCAGATATAACAGGATAAAGTGTCCTTAGCCCTGTTTGGATTCAGATAATTCAGTTTTCCAACCATGCAGTATGAAATCCACCACAGAGCCAGGTGGATAACATTCCCTTTCAAAGGAACACAATGGGGAAACTGAGCCAGGAGGATCCCATCTTAGACTGACGCTAAAATTGTCCTCTCAGTTTTTCCCAATGCGGACTTCCCACCAGTATCACATTCTCTAGTAGCTTGTGACTTTTCTCTCAGATGGTTGATTGTTGATTATCGATGGATTATTATGATCCATCAGACAACTCAAAATAAAATCCTGGGAGCTTTTACCTCACACAGCAAGTTTCACTAATCACAGTTTAGGAAAAACTTTTCCAGGATTTACATCTCAAACTTAAATTTGTTCTGGTGTAAAAAGTCAATCATTAGAGATTTCTGTACACTTTCAAATTCTCAGCAAGCCATAACCCAAACAATCTTTTTGGCGAGTTTGCACATTAAAACAATAACCGACAATAGCCAAATTATTTTAGCAGTAACCAAATTATGACAAGTTGCTTGAGACAACTGATACAAGAAGTTCACCAATTTGAAACTCGAAACAAACCCATTATCAATCAGATGACTTCAGTTTTGTTAAATGCATTTCCAAATTACTTTACACAGAGAATCAACATCAAAACTACAAATTTAGAAGAGGATGCTTACCCAAGTTTGGAGGCCAGCTGCTTTGCCTTGAGCAGGATGTGCTGAACCTGGGTGATGTTTCCAGGCAAAGGTTGCCCTAGGGCCTACGGCCGTTGCCATGGGACCTCATGATGTAGTTCCTGCCCCTTCCCACTCCTTCCTTTCCCAGGTGGGGGAAGGCAAAATCAAAGGTGAGGGGTAAAGGGTGAAACTCTCATCTCCTATGAGAGGGGTTAAGAGAAACCCTCTTGACTCAAGGGAAAGGAGTGGGAGAAAGGAATGGCTAGGATTGTAAGGAAGAGTTTCAAAACTCCTTAATGATCTATCACATAACCTCCAAAATCTGCTAAGATGTTTTTAGCTGTTCTAGCTTTTCTCTGTAACCTCCATGAAGGAGGATTCAGGAGTGTGGAGGAGAGTAAGTAAGCCTCAGGGAACTAAAAAGCAACTGCAGTTTTCCCCAATTCCCTAGTGCCGAGGGAATTAATAGAATTGAGCATACACTTCCCGATAGGGCATCCATCCCTGTCCTCTATGCTGCGGAAGGTGCACCCAGGTCCATGGCTTCGAACCAACCCAGTGGACTGAGAGACTTAGAGTGTCAGGCCGAGTGTGAGAGAGCTTCATAACTGTCTCCCATAAAACACCTCCAAGCCTTGGTGCTTGGAGAGTGACCCCAACTGCAGAGCAAGAAAGAAGGTGGGGGAGGCTTACATACCTTCCAGTCTTGACTGAAGAAGAACTTGGGGTTAGGCAGTTTCCGTGTATGGGCCACCAAAATGTTGAGGTTTAGGGGTGCTGGCACCCCAAAATCAAAACACATGAGTCCTGCCCAAAAGAATTCAGCCCAAGCCTTCTTTCAGCTAAAGACAAGGTTTATTAGAACATTTGTCATATTGGGCAGACTCTTAAGGCATCTGAACATTAGTGAGCTATTGGCTAGATTATAAGAATCTGGGCAGTGGCTAGATTATAAGAATCTGAGGCAGGGGCCACTCTTAAGAAACAGCTTGGAAGCATTGGTGGTTTGGGCACTTGACCACCCCAATCAGGCAGCTCCAGCCCTGAGACCCCAGAACCAGTTATCCAAATACTAGCTGTCACCACCTCCTTACAAATCCAAGGAAAGTTAGAGTTCTGCCATTTGGAGTCTTTTTCTCTCCTTTCCAGTCCCTTCTTTCTCTTCTGTCTCATTTCTCCCTTTCCTTCTCCTCCACTTCTTACTTTTTAACCCATCTGTTTCTTCTCCCATTTCTTTATGCCCGCACTACAAACCAATCGACCTGTTGGCTGCTCCCCATTCACCATCCTTCCTGCTTACAAGGCACTCTCCACTCAACTCCACCAGACTGAATCCCTCTCCCTTCAAAACTCAACTCAAATGCTTCTTACTAAATGTGCCCCTTCCCCTAAAATTCTACATTGTAGAAAGGAAAATATACCATCAACAAAAGGACAATCTCCATCGTATTTTTGCCTCAGAGAGGCAGCTAAATGTTGCAGTGGACAGAGTGTGGGACCTGGAGTCAAGGTGAACCTGAGTTCAGATCCTGATTCCGTCAGTATCCAGCTGTGTGACCCTAGACACGTCACTGATCCTCTGTTTGCCTCAGTTTCCCCAACCATAAAATAGGATAATAAGAGCATTATTATGCTCTTATTATATTATTATTATTACATTATATTATGCTCTTATTAAACTACCTCCCCTTATTGTTGTGAGGATCAAATGGGATAATGTGTAGCTAGCTTTGCAAATTTTGAAGCACTGTATCGATGCTAGCCAATATTTTTGTTATTAATATTCTGTATTTGTTATTCTTCAGTCATGTACAGTCTTGTTAGACTCTTTGTGACCCCATTTTGGGTTTTCTTGGCAAAGATACTGGAGTTGTTTGCCATTTTCTTCTCCAGCACATTTGATAGATGAGGAAACTGAGGCAAATGGGGTTAAGTGACTTGTCTAGGATCACACAGCTAATAAGTGTTTGAGGCTGGATTTGAACTCAGGTCTTCCTGATTCCAGGCCCAGTGTTGTATCCACTGTGCCACCTCACTGCCCACTGAGCCACCTAGCCACCCTGCATTTACTTAGCTCTTATTTTTCTTGATATATTACCGCCCTCCCCTGCACCCCGCCCCCGATAAAGGGCAGCTTTGTCTGATTCTTACCTACATAGCACCAGCACCAGGTGGAGGCTAAGCCTTTCCAGGTGCTCCCAAGATCACATTCATTTCCTTGCCTGTACTATTTTCACCTTCTTGACTCACTATCACCTACTGGACCCAAATGCCAAATTTCTTTCAGGCAAAGTGCTCTCTGACTTCTCCTCTCCCTTCCTGTGCCAGCAAAGCCCCAATATCTTATTGTAGCCTGCTCTACTGCCCTAAATTCCCCCTTCTGAGGCTCAGTTTCCCCTTCTGCAAGAGAAAGGGGTTGGACTAAACTGGGAATTCTTTTGTTGTTGTTGTTGTTATTGTTTTCATAGTTAATTAATTAATTAATTGATTTTTTAGTTTTCAACATTCACTTCCACAGGATTTTGAATTTTAAATTTTCTTCCCCTCCTCCTCCTCCCCCCTCCCCAAGACAACACGCAATCTGATACAGGCTCTACTTATACATTCATATTAAACTCATTTTCACATTAGTCATGATGTAAAGAAGAATTAGAACTAATAGAAGGAACCATGAGAAAGAAGAAACGAACAAAACAACAAAAGAAAAGGAGAGCAAATGGTGTGCTTGGATCTCCCTTCAGACTCTATAGTTCTTTCTCTGGGTATGGATGGCATTTTCCATCATGGGTTTTTTGGAGTTGCCTTAGATCCTTGCATTGCGGAGAAGAGCCAAGTCTATCAAAGTCAGTCATCAAACAGCGTGGCTGTTGCTGTGTACAATGTTCTTCTGGTCCTGCTCATTTCACTCTGTATCACAGACCATGAATTCTTAACCTGAGGGGTCTGTGAACTTGTTTAAATTATTTTTTATCATTATGTTTCAGCATAATTGATTTCCTTTGTAATGTTGTGCATTTAAAAACATGGTTCTGATGCATAGATAGATGAGAACAAGAAGGAAGGGCCCAAGGTTACATGGATTTCAGAATGCCTGTTGATTGATTGAGAAGAAGAAAGATTATTGAGGGAAGCGGAGAAAGGACTGACCTGGAGAAATGTGACAGTGCAATGATACAAGAAGAGTTGTTGACGGTAAGCTTCTTACTCTCCAGGCAAACTGTGAGACTTCTAAGTTCTTGGATGAGAGCAGAGGAAACAGCTCTTGATCGCTCATAGATTTTGAGTTGGAGGGGGCTTGAACAACCTCATTTTACAGATGAGGAAGCTGAGGTTGAAAGTGATTCAGTGACTTGCCTAGAGCCACCCTACTAGTAAGCACCCAAGTGAGGA